TGAAACAAATATATCTTCCAACGCAAAATAGCTTCATAATTGCGCTGTTGCAAAAAATATTCTTCTACTAGACCTGCATGGTTTCTGGGTAATGTGGGACTTGTACCTTCTTTTATTCAATCAGAGAGAATATCTATGCTCTAAACTTAATTTACTGGTCCATCCTTGACCTTTTGCAATTTTTTGTCTTGTATGGGCAAGCGATATGAACAAAAAACGGGGAACGTGAGATAGTAAGCTTTTCTGGCCTCGTTCTGCAATGAGAACTAACCAAAAGGAGGGTACCCAGCTATTCTGACATGCGCTTCCGTCATTACCATTTTCATTCACATTTCTATCAACAGCTCGAACCAATAACAGAGCCAAAGATGCTTAAGTGTCTATTCTCTCACTAAGCTATTCCCCGAATTCAAGAAGTGAGAAATTCGTTTCGGTTTGAGACAGCCGCCTCCCTGTAGATCACTCCGCCCACTCACTGATTTCCCTCTCAGCAACGCCTGTGTTTGGCTTTTCTCAAAAGAACAGCTATTTAACGAGAAATTTATGCAATCGGCACACTCAAAAATAACCCCCCAATAGGCCCCGTCAATCCAAAAAGAAGCAGAATCTCCAGGATTTTTTTGGCCAATCCGTGTTTATCACATCGAAATGGTTTAGAAAAATCGGAAGGCCTGAGGTCAATGCCCAGGTTTTGCCTTTGAGCAAGCCAGCGCAACAACTTTGCCAAACGAGTATCATAAGCTTCTGCATTACTCAACGCAATTGGCAGAACTCCTTGAAATGTGGAGTAAAAGTCTAACGCGTCCAAATAGCGAAGTGCGTCTTTTTGTAAAGGCTTATAAATTCTGCACTATGGTGTTTTTTTAGAATTTGAATTTACTCTTAGGGATGGGAGTTCACAAAAATATTCCAGTAATTCAGTCAGTTCTGCAGCGCATTTCTCAAATTTGTAGATTTCCTATCTCCTATATATATAAAGCAGAAAGTCTGTATGAATGTATGTATGTATGTATGGTCGGAATACAAATTTTTGTATCTGAACCCAAAAAGCCCAAATTTTGCACACATACATTATAGACGCCGGCGGGTACCATAGGCTATTTTATACAGCAGTTCAACGTTTGATGGCGTTGACTTGCGCATTTTTGGCTAGATTACGTCATTATTAAAAATGAAGTGATATTAATCGTTATCAGAGTACTTAAGCAAGATCATGCAAACGATGTGGTTATTGAATTTAAGTACGTCAATGCGGAGTGGTTGCTTATTCGAATCAGTGGGAAAGGCAGGATGAAAAAGGTGTGAGGTAAAATGACTAAGTTACGCAGTCTTTCCTTGCAATTAGTTCAATAAATAGAAAAGTTCTAAACGCAGAGCGGGTACATATATTGTTAGCAATTCCAGGTCCTGCAATGTGATAAATAGGGTCCACATTTAAGGTTTCAAAATTGGACCCTATTTATCACATTACGCCGAATGCTGTTCAATCTTATCAAGATAGCTGCACTTTTTTGAATGCTTTCTATCAATCATAGTACTCTCATCAAGTACTATTTAATAAATGCGTTAAATTATGCCTGCACAAATGTGAACAGTTCACGCAGAATTAGATGAGATAGATTAGTCAGATGCAAAAAACGCGCAAACATAAAAAGCCGAGCGAAACCAGGTATGCCAGCTAGTATTTACTAAAATGAAGATCAAAGTTACAGGGGAATGCTTTTCAATGGAAATGGCGATAACAAGTTATACACCACAATAACAACCTGGGCACAGCTACTTAAAACTTCGCATTTGCCAATCTATCCTTAGGAAGAAGATATGGGCTTTCCTTATGTTGAAATCACCAAAAGAAGAACGTGTTCTACGCTAGCAAATATTGCGGCAACGTAGTTAAGAATTTTTTCTTACAGAGGGATGCATCATCCTGCTGTTAGAAAGCATTCTGCTTTTTTTTGCAGTTTTTTGCATGGGTACTTGCTGCAAAAAGCTTCAAATGAAACTATCTTTTATTATTATCCAAAAGTCAGTTAAAGGCAAAACCAGTGGCTAAAAGTAGAATTTAAAAGCAGTACACTACTAACTCGTGTGAAGACGTTTGTAACTACGACTACGCCCACTACGAGCAGTTTTTGTGTTGCACTTCACAGACGCCTTTACACATCTTCGTAATGCAAGGACCTACAAATGACCGCCGATTTCGCCTTTGAGACTTGTATAATAAGTCAACAAGCGCAAAACAACTTGACCGCGACAGAATTCTCACCTGCATCGAAACTTCCAAAGCAAATGCGCTAACCTAGCTTATACTTATTCATAGAGCACGAGTTATTTTTTGAAGATCTTGAGGAAATAAATGCAAATAGCTTTACCAAAGGCCGTTTCGCAGCTTCGTTAAAGTCATTATTCTGTTGTACATCTCGTTTTGAATGGCCATTGCGAGTTATAGCATTTCTTTCAGAATTGTCACTGCAACTCGGCATCCTTCCTTTTCAGTCTGGG